ATGTATAACATATGTGTATACATACAGGGTTCTCCAAAAGTATGGAAATAGTCAAATATTTCCAAAATGGAACATTTGTGAAAAAAATGGTTTAGAGAAATGTTTTAGGGTTTCAAAAATTCTATTGAACGATCGTGTCCGTTTGACCTTTAAAGGATCGGCCAAAGTCACGTTAAGGTCAATATGATTTTTTTATTAGAACACCTCATTTTTTATCATGCATCGTGAAAGCTGGCTATGAGATCTTTTCAAAACACTAGTTTCAAACTTTTTTTTATTCGCGATAGATGGCGCTGTAATCGAAAATCGGGAAGTTCCTTGTGTGGCCCGTAAAGGGTCGCACACAAAATAAACATGAATAGCTATATGCATATAGCTATATTAAGCGAGCAAGAACAACCCTACTCGCGAGCTCGCGAAGTGAACGAGCAACAAGGACCCCACTCGCGAGCTCGCGAAGCGAGCGAGTAACAATAACCAGCTAGTTTAATGTATAAGTGTACAGGAAATAATATTTAATTTTATTAACTGGACGTAAGTATATGGCTGCCACTATATGTATGTTACGTTCGAGTAACTTTTACAGCAGAATGAACTGAACACTTAAGATGATACCCTTGTGTTTCAGATGGACCGAGTTTCATGGGGCCAATAACAAACGTCACGGTCCCAATTGGCAGAGATGCTGTGCTCGCTTGCGTCGTTGCGAACCTTTCTTCGTATAAGGTGATTTCTCTACTAACAATATCTCTTAATCTTACACTTTACTTTATACTTACTTTTACTGCTCAAATTTTCTCGTTTAATTCTGATCAATGTTACGTACGGAGTGCTTTTCGTGCGTCCGCATTTGCGAAATCATTAATATCTTTGAAATTCATTTTGTGGGCAGTGATATACGATGTGCTCGATAGCCAGTATTGCAAAATTACACAGTCCGTCTTGACCAACAACGTTTATTTTATAATGTTTTACCAAATCAGCTTTCGATAGGTGTAGCTGACATGCACAGAGTAAAAAAGAAACACTGTTATCAAAAAAATTATTTCTAAAAGTCACTTTCTAGAATGGTATATTTCGAAATTAACAAATAAAACAAAATTTTGCGATTGATTTAATAAATGGCAATATAGAGAAAGCACTAAAAAACGAATGTTCTCGCACTGACATTATATATCAATATTTTCCTATTGTTGGCTTCATTGTTTATACAAAACGAAAAATGATTCAAATAATTAAAATGATTGAAGCATACGTGATTGTTCAAAATGCATTCGCTGGCATGCTGCACACTCTGAACATGTTTAAAATGAATTTTGCGGTATAACAAACATCCTTCTCGTGACCCTGCATACTTTAGTAATTTAAATTTCGTTCGTCACGGGATAATAATTTCTCTCCGTTTGCTACGCGACGTGTGCTATGAAGGACTTATCTGGTACGGATAGGGACCAGGAGAAATGGAAGATTAAGACGAAAGAAGTAATAGTATACAAAAACAGAAAGTAGAAAAACTTGCAGTTCAGAAAGAATGTTCAATGTATCAAAAACATTTATGGCAAAATATTACAAAATAAATGAGGTGATATTCCTTCGGATAAAATGAAGAAATTAATTGTATCCAAGTTTGGTCAAAGAAATTGTAACATTATCTAGGTTTTTATCATTACTAGCGTTATATTTAAAAAAAAAACTATTAATAAAATATATTCGCTAATACAATATAAACATACTGAAACATAAATGATATAATTGATATTAATAGATTCACAACTTTTATTAGATATTTATTTCTATTAAGGAAGTGTCGACATACTTCTGAACGGGGGGGGGGGGGGGTGTATATAGATTGTAACATACACACGAACTTTAATAAATGCGATAAATTGCACCTTTTATCACTGATAAAATCTTGACTTCGCAGACTAAGATCAATAAAAGGGTCCTGGTATAAATTCTTACAATTATGTCTCATGACGGTGTTCCCGCTGAATGGTAGGTTTAAAATGGTGACTCGGAAAGACCGTGTGATAGATTGATGGCGCGCGATGCACTTGTAACGAAAAATTAAATGTATTTGATATTGACAATTGTGTACAACTATGACCGAATAACGAGAGGTTTCGGACTTTTGAAGTTACAAAATTGTCAAAGCTTCGCGCTCAAGACCACTTGAAATTTTCAGATTTTGCAACTATTTATGTTTTTACTTCAGAACTTGAAATGGGAATTCGACGAAATTTTGAACGAATATCCACCTTCATAATAGGTACCTATAAAAAAATCTGTGAACCGCAAAAATATTGTATAGACCTCAAAAAAATTCGTAAGTGTTTTTGAGGTTTGCGATCTTTGATTCGAATTTTGAGGGTGATAAGGCCATCTGAGCGTTTGTTAGTATTAAATAACTTTCATTGGCCTTTAAAAAAGCTTTCTAATGACATTTTGATTCAGTAAATCAGTTAAGAATTGAGGAAGTTATTTTTTGGTCAATTTCCGCCAGGATATAGGGAATAAAAATAATATTATCTAATTATCACAAAATTTGAGATCTACAGGTTTTTTTAGGGTGCTGAATCCGAATATGATATTATTTTTGCTTAAAAAAAGGTTCCTGGAGTAGTTTTCGTACAAACTATCAAAGGTGTTAGTACCAAAAGCGGTTCTTGTGGTGATAACTTTATTAATCATTTTCCTAGAATATGTTAACTATTTTTACTGATAATAATATTGCCAAAATTAAGATATTCGTTTCTTAGCTTTTTAAATATTTTGGCATCCCTGAGGCCTACTCACAAAAACCCTCGGACACGGCTAAACCTTGGTAGAGTTTAGAATCGCCAAAAAAAGTTTGAACCAGATCTGTTAACTTCTCTTGTCAGCTAGCCCCTATTTTCGGTTCTTACACTAATTCTGGGACACCCTGTATACGAATGTTAGGCAGACTGAGCACTTGCGAGAAATAGTGGTGTCCCGCTAGTGGTGAGGACAGGCTTCCACCACATACTAAAGTACCAATAATTCGGGAGCAGCGTTGTTACATTAGTCCCATGTTTACAGGAATATTGGAATGTAACCTATAACCTTCATTAGTAAGATCGGAGAGGTGATCCAAGGTTCGAACGGTAAGACGTGTTACATTCCGAAGGTGGAAATACCTTTGATGCGAGTACTTGAACGACTGTTGGAATTGACTTCTAATATGCAACGAGAAATGTCTTTATGCTGATTGCTGGAGTGCTTGAAATGGTGTTACTGTGACTATTGGCGGTATCCTTTTCACTGTTGGTGTGCGGGACCTGTAAACTAATTTGTACGTTCGTGTTCGAAAGTGCGGTTATGTTGAGGCCGACGAGTACAAGTCTTGTGGTCTGCATCGACCTAGTTTCAAGGCGATGGATCATAAAACATTATCTGGACGCACTGGAGTTTCACTAATTGTGAGTCTAAGGACATCGAACTAATAATCGTATACACAGCGAATCGGATACGCTAGATAAGTGCTTCAGAAACGAACGTGCAATTAATAGCATTACGGTAAGCAAATTGGAATTAGAATGTGGTAAGCGAAAAGGCATAGTCAAGCTGAACAAGGCTTCTAAGTGGTAGCTAGACGAAAATGAACCGGCAGATTAGACTAGGAAGTACTTAATGAAGGAGCAGTAAAAGAAGCAAATAAGTTGAACGATGTAAGACACCAATGTACTCCGGGTAACGTAACTACGTACTACGTGTGATAAGTGACAGACAATTGATGTAAATGGAGCCGTTTCTTATCCGTGGAGGTAGAAGCTTTGGAACGATCCACAATAGAATTCCGAGTGGCTAGACTTTCAGGATTACCCCTCGTTAGGGAAGTCAGCAAGCGAAGGAAAATGGCGAATCGTACAGAGGTCACAGACGTAATTATTTTTCCCACAATTTTTACAGCTGTCGCCGATACAATTGCTTGAAAGAAAACAGTAACGTACATTTATGGTACAACATATCACACGACAGCGATAGTATAAGAAGTAGTCGTATAAGCATATTATGATACTTGTAAAGTGTTATTTCCTCCATACCTACGTGCATAGTTCTTACACTGCTCGGCAGTTGACTGCATGTTTAACAAAAGTCGTATGTCCGGTCATGAAGATCCGATAAAAAAACTTCAAAAAAGTAAAAAGATTACGCCAAGTACATGAAAAAGTGGAGGACTCAAGGAGTTATCATTGAAAAATAGAAGATCCCCATAAAAAGCTACAAGAAAGTAGAAAAATATGTGAAATCAAAATGAGCTGCCAGATGATTTGGCTAGATTTCCGCAGCCTGGAAGTCAAATGCTTGGCGTGGCCAGCCAAGGTCAAAGTGTCGATGAATAAGAATTGTTTTAAAACGCAAAATAATGAAAGTGTACTTATATTGTCAGAGTTTTAAACTGACAAATTATCTGAAAGCTTGCGAGAGTAAAGTTATTGGCGTCACATCTTTTATATATATATTCATATAATTTATTAATTATAATGTTAATGATGAAATGAGAAAATAACTCCATTTCTATAAGCTCTACGTAAAAAGTCTAAATAAAAAACACTTTAGTGGTATGGATCTACTCTGTATGAATGAAGGTTCCTGACAATTCAGATTTTGACAACTTATCTTGTAATCGAAATTGATCTACATTTTGCTTTACTGGCAGCAATTTGTTAATCTCCAATCCTGTGGGCCCCCTTCATTTCCACAAGCTCTACATAAAAAGCTTAAATTCAAAATACGCCGCTCGACGCTCGATGGCCGACGAGCCATGCCGAACCGAATGATTCCGGGAGTCGACAAACGACGCCCTGCTTTTGCTTAGCTCCTATTGGCTAAGAGTTGACGACAGGAAAATCATACGAAAAATACCGTTTCTGGCAGATTCATGACATGATATTACGATATCTCAGTTGTACGTGTACCGATTTGATTGATTTTTGTTTTATTCGAAAGCTTATATGCGGTTTACATCAGAAAAATGCCTTTAAATTTAGAAAATACTGCAGGCGTGTTGAGATATTCATGAAAGAAGTTTCAGGTTAGGTTGGAATGGACCATCTCTCCTGTAAGAAATACGTGGTAGCTCCAACGCCAGTATATACGCGATGACGGATAATTTTTCATGTACTTGGCGCCGAGACGCTACCGCGTCTCTAGGGGCGGCTCGGTGGTACACGCCATTTGATAAACACGTGAGACGGTAGTACACGCTCGCGCCGCCAGATGGCGCATATTAGTGTGATGTTTGTTTGTTTTATTGCGTTTAAAGTGTGAGCTTGGGGAGCTATTGACTATTCGCTCCCCTTATTTGCTATTGCACCATCTTATTCTTATTTTTTGCCCTTAGGCTTTTCCCATTCCTTATATTTTTTAGTTAGCCATAACCCAACCATGAAAAACCGGGGCGGACCGCCCGGGATTCGAACCCAGGCTCTCAAGCGTGGTAATCGGCTACTCTACGCACTGCTCTACTGTCCGCCCCTAAAGATATTAATGTGAGCCATCGGTAGTACAGGCCAGCGTGAACGTGGTAAAGTAGGTTTTACATATGTTTAGACCACCCTAAATCAGGAACATTATCGTAAATTTAGAATTTAGAATTACCTACTCGGTAAGTAGCTTCGAGAATATGGTACACTAGATTTGGAAGCAAACGATCGTGGGCGATCAAACACGTATTTACATATGTGTCGGCTGGAAGGGGCAAT